CACTAATCTGTACTGATGTGTTGCCAGAAAATCGCGCTGTTTCTCTACCTGGCTATACTCTATACTCTCAACATCTTTTTCATCTTTTTCATCTTTTTCCTCTTACGCTGATTTTGTCATCCCTTTTCCTCGCGCTATTGAAATGTACCTCCATCACCTTTGCCCCCTTCTCCGTATATATGTTCTAGTGATTGTTAGCCTTGGTCATATGCTGTCTGATGAAGTGTTCTGACACGAAACTCGGAGTAACAGCGGAATGAGACTTGTTTGATTCATTGCTGTGTAATATTTGTATCTACCTATCTACATGTATCTCCACACAAAAGGCACAATGGAGGTTTACAGATTTGTCGCCACTCAGAGTTTCTTGCTCAATGCAATCATCAGGCCACTATCTATCTATCTATCTATCTATCTATCTATCTATCTATCTATCTATCTATCGATCTACTAGTATCTTTTTACTCAATCTGAGGACAGCATGCTGTTTCGTTCTTTGTGAACTCATCAGCGCAGCACAGCGAAAATGAGGCCGAACCTGATAGCAATGAAAATAAAATTTCCAAAGCCAGATTTAAATCAGGGCCGAACGTACGTTGCCAGAGTGGTCAAACTGACAAGTCAGTGAGCCCTGCGTGATTATCTATCTTTTTATCTATCTAGCTATCTATCTATCTACACAAAGGCAGAACAACAGAGACCAAACGTCTTTCTCGTAACTCGGAGTATCCATCTACATGTATCTATCTCTGTCTCCCAGTCTCTCTGTTCCTTTCTGTCTCTCGCTGTCTTTATCTCTCTTTCTCTCTCTGTCTCTCTCCCTCTCTCGGTGCTACGCAGCTGATAATCAATCAAAGCATTCTTATAGCATTACCATAGTTGGAGACGGTTTGACAAGCTCTTCAGCGCTGCTCGTCTACAAGGCGGCAGTGAGCAAGGTTTGACAAGCGGCACACGGACTGCATAAAAAGGGTTGTAAAGTACCGAGCGACACTGCACTGCGGATGAGGGAACAGTCCCGACCATAGCCTATAGGGTGTCATGTCCAGTTCGTGTTCCAAAACTGGTCTCCGGGTGACATGAAGCACGCGCGCCGCTGACTCCCAGCCTCATACTAGTACTGCTGTCGCCAGCTAGCTTATGACCACATTTTCAGAGTGGCACGGAAAGTACACGTGTGATGTCCATACTCAGCCTGCTTGGCGTTCGGCCCAAGGCACAGGCTAGGCTAGGCAAAGCAAAAAATGACACATTGACGGGTGGTATTTGCTGCCCATGGCGTGATTAGTTCATCTACATCCGTATACAAAATATAATTTTGAAACACTGAAACGCAAGTACAATATTCGTTGCTAAAGTTCTTGTGTTGGCGAGCCTGCCATTGTCGTTTAGCCCAGCCATACCCTGGGTTTGGCTTGCTAGTTCAAACAAAACTTTCTTTACCGTAAGAGTAATCTGGCCTTCTGCCACCCTGATTGATGAACCAGTATGCCTTCCGCAAGAAAATTTAGCGATGGTACAGGCAGACTTCTACTTTTGGCACGTCTGTTGGGGTTTCTACTGTTGATATTCATCGTCTTGTCATTTCTATTTCCTATGCAACCGTCCACGATGCTGGGTCGAACACTGTGCCCAATGGCCAAGACGCCTTCTGAAGCTCGGCGACGTGGCGCTAGTCAGGTGAGACATGCAAGTCTCCACTTTGAGTATGGACTTAGCCTCTCAAACCGTGCCGCGAGCTACCCGCCTTCGTCTGAAATCTGTCCTGGCTTAGCATATGGCTTGATGGTTGGATGTATGCTAGTGGCCTGTGTTTTATCCTTCCTTTTCACGCTTGTCGCATGCGCGCTGCATCGGTCCTCACTTGCGTCGAAAATGCACCAGAAAGAGACAAGAGACGATCAGCCATTGATCAAACCTGGAGACGATGAATTACAGCAAGGCATGCATTGGTCCGATGACATCATACCGACTATTGCAATTCTTTGCGAACCGGGCCAGTCGAGGTCGAATCTGTTGAGGAATTGCTTGCGACTGCATAACCAGCTGGAAGGCATTCTCTCTCTCAGGATTGTGTCTCCAGAGGAATATAGCCGAGTTGTGGACGAATGTTTGCGGAATGGAAACATGTCTGGCCTTACCCTGTTGTATACGATGGTGAAAGGGTCAGGGCGCGAAAGCGAGTTCTTGAGTGCATTGAGAAGGTGCCGATCTAACTTGTCTATCAACCTGTCCTCCGCAACAGAAGATCCGAGTTCCAATGGAAGCGGCTCGGACGCCTCCAGCACCACCACCAGCCCAGCTGACGAGCTAAGCGCTGATTGCAGTGTATTCGAGCAAGGTTGCGTAGATCGCAGTGCCAGGGAGGTGCCAGAGAGAGTGGGACCAAGCGTTGCTGGCAAGCTGCCCGTTAACAAGGGTATGAATCCCGCACGAGTGTGTCAAACGGTCTTGCTGTGGGTAAGAGCCATGCGTTACCTGGAGGATCTCCTGAGCGAGGGTGTCCTGGATGTGTACCACTACGGCTTTCTGATCGACTTGCAAGCACAACCCGAGAAGCAAATGTTCGCACTGATGGAGATCGTCACGAGATGCAATAACATGGCCAAGATGATCGACATTATTTACCCTGATTGCAGCTGACTGTCTAAACAATATCTATGTTGCTCACCAATGGATCATGTGGCTTCCGCACACAACGTTTGGTAGCATACCAGCTAGTGGGGACACTACCACAGCAGCTTAGCTTCAGGGAGACCCTACTAATGAGCGAGGGCATCTACCTCACAGCGCAAACATGCAGTCCAAACGACCTAGTATGCTCCTCATACTCAGCGTTAAATACAGCTATGCAACAAAATGATGCCAGCTAGTTTGTCTTTATAGAAATGGAACACCTACTTCAGTAAAGAGTATTCTCTTTCGTTACGTTACTCTATTTTGCTATGGTTGACTTTCAGCCTTGTTGGTGTGCCCATTGCTGTATTTATCTCCCTGGTCTGGTTCTCGTCTCCAGTAAGTAGCCTTATGACAGAAATCTTTTCAAATCCCATCCCAGGTTACATCTTGCTGCACCTAAGACTAGCAATACCCTTGAAGCCCTAGACATTTCACGAATTCGGCTTGGAATGAAGGATCATGTTCAAACCAGGGAGCCCCAAACTTGAAACACGCTTCTTCACGACTCAACTCCCAGGGCAACGCGACTAGACTACACCTACGTGGATACCGGTATACATTGCACTGTGTTGTAATCATACAGTGAACAAACTAAATACATGTACAGTGAGAACTGGTTCACGGTGCCCGCTTTGCACTTGGGCTTGGACTTATAAGATACATGTGATTCGAAAAATCGGACTCGGATGGAGAACCAAGGATAAATTTATAGGAAGAAAAAGGGACCAAGAAACTACAGGTTACGCTATAATATCCACTGAAACCACCAGTTACTGAACAATCAGCTCATGCAATAACATTGCACGGCACTGACCGACGGTACTGACGATCTACAACTAACTGGCTATCAGCACTCCGACAGCCTTCCAACTAAGTTATAAATATGACATACGAGGGAAAGGTGAGCGCAACCAAGACAAGCACGAGCTGAAATTCACAGCTGTGAAGGACGTTGGCGGATGTACATGCACGATACTGGCAAGATCATTGGACAGTTCAACCACGATTGAAGGATGCAAAGTACCATTCCACACAACTTGTGTGGCTCAAAGATGCGAAGATCAATTAAAGGGGAAGCTATGCGAACAAGAATCGTGAAACCCGAACGCCTCAACGCCTCAGTAACACAGCACTGTGTTTCAACTATGGCAATTGAAATGGAGAATAAGCAGCAGCAACAAGCAGAAGTTTCAGACGACGATCGTTTCGCCGTATAGCTAAGGACGGCTCATCAAGTGTGCAAGAATGGACTCGGATGGAGAACCAAAGATACATTTATAGGAAGACCAAGAAACCAAGAAACTACAAGTTACGCTATAATGTCCACTGACACCACCAGTTACTGAACAATCAGCTCATGCGATAACATTGCACGGCATGGCACTGACCGACAGTACTGACGTTCTACAACTAACTGGCTATCAGCTGTAGCGCATCTCGGATGCAGCACCGTCGGTCAGTGTTGCGCAAGTTTATCGCATGAGCTGATTGTTTAGTACTGGTGGTGGACATTATACCGTAACTTGTAGTTTCTTTGTCCCTTTTCTTTCTTTTAAATGTAATTTAAAAAAAGCAAGAAATAAGAAGATGTGCACGGCCACCAGTATGGGAGCGAGTGTCTGTTGTTTCCAGCCAGTGTCCGTTGTCTTCTTTGTCCATGGCTTCTGGGCCTAGGCCTGTCCGGATTATGGTTTGCATATTTTTCGCATTTTGGGGGTTTTCAGCATTTTTTCGCATTTTGGGTTTTTTCAGCATTTTTTCAACATTTTGAGCATATTTTGCATACTCATCGGCAACCTCGAGCTCGAGCGCACTGTACTTGTACGGTACTGTACTTGGCTCTGCAGAAGCCATACAACCAAACAAAATGATGATTCCTTTCGACTATCGAAAACGACCACATCCTTTGCACGCGCTTCCTCCACGTGCACTTGGAACGACAAGGGATTCAAGTTTTACACCATTTTGGTTGACATGGTTGCGGCAGCATAATTTTCGCATTTTGGGTGAAATTTTGAATTTTTTAAAAGATTTTTTAGCATTTTGGGTATATTTCCAAAAAATAAACATTTCCATTTTGACCCTTCAAAAAACGCATAATCCGGACAGCTCAGGGTTACTTCTGGCTAGAGCATGATACATGTACACGACGAACATGTACAATGTCATGTACATGTAATTATACATTGTTCATTCCTCTGCTTTGTATACACAGTAATTACTGACCAATGTACATTTATTTGCTGGGATTATTTGCATACTGTACATTCTCATTTGATTGATTAAAGAAAAAAACATAATTCCCTGCAGGGCACAGTGGATCGCACGGACTTAAAATCTTGAGTATAGTGCGCACTTCCGGCAGGGAGGGGACTTAGTAGGCAAGAAATGTTCATTTTCCATTGTTTTTCATTGTTCATCCAGGCAGGCATAGTGGGATGGCCTACGACTATGATTGAGAAACAGAGGGTACCTGGTACAAGTCCTGCTTGGAAGCGGAAGGATTCTTTTCCAGCCGTGCTGCGACCCACAGGGAACTCGTGGCCTGGCACGAGGAAAGCATGGATGCAGTGAGCGGGATACTCGGTCTTTGACCACTTGTATTGGGGCTGATCTCCTTTTCTAGGAAATTTCTAGATCGGAATTCGGACAAAGACAAATGGAGAAGACTCCGTACAAAATCAAATACTGTACTAGGAGAGGCGAGTCACTTTACTCTACAGTCATTAGTTGCCTCCACTGAGAACGTCAGGCCAATCATGCATGGCCATCAGCAAAAATAGATTCTGCATTTGCCTTGAATGTTGGAAGCCTGCAGCTGTGACCGTGCTGTATAAAGCTATGGTGGTGAATAGCATAATATACTGCAGTTTTGTGTGTGTGTGTGTGTGTGTGTGCATGTGTGTGTGTGTGTGTGTGCACGTGTGTGTGTGCACGTGTGTGTGTGCATGTGTGTGTGTGTGAGTGTGTGTGTGTGGTGTGTGTGTGTGTGCGCGCGTGTGTGTGTGTGTGCGCGCGCGCGCGCGTGTGTGTGTGTGTTTGTGTGTGTGTGTGCGTGCGCGCGTGAGCGTGTTGATTCTTTTTTAAATTTGATATGGGCATGAAATTAATAATCATAGGCCTGCAATGTCATAAAAGTCTCTCTAGATCCTTTTTGCCGAGAATATCTGGGTGTGAGTACAACATGGCAAAGTTACAGATTACACATTAGGCGACTGCAACATCAGACATGTGAAGTCTGTACAAACACGAACGCTCGCAGCGTCCCTTCTGCGCGCACCAACCAGCAGTAGAGCCGCTGGAACGATCATCCGATGTCGGTGTGGATGTCCAGCTCCTGTACCTTTCTCATGGAATCATGGTGGAGGGGTGGTGTTCGTAGTGGTTGAATTGCCTTACAACATAGGTGAGATTGATGTCAAACGGCCCCATCACCTGTTAGTGTTCGATCCTTGGTTTCCGGGATCCGCGTGGTCAGCGCGATGGAAACCAACATCATCCCGGATTGTATTGTGTAGATCAGGCCCGGCTGGGTGACTCCCTGCAGTTGTCATGGAGACAGTGAACGGCACATATCCGGGTCAAGTTGTTGCTATGGCAACTGATCATGGACACTATGAATGCACCGTGACCACTTCACATATCCAGTAAATTACTGGACAGGTTGAGAGCTTTTTTTAATCATGTTAGACACTTTTACACTATTTGTCATCTCGGGTACAGATGCTCCAAGCACAGTTGAAGTACTATTTAAATTTTCTACACAATTTATAATCAAGCCCATCTTCAAGAAAGATGGGTTTACATGTAAATATTTTCTGATCAGCCGGCCAGCAACACACCATGACAGAATCTGAACTAGGAGCACGGCACACTCTTTGCTTACTATTCTTTCCAGGAAAGGGGTCATGAAGGCCCCTCCACTGCCTGCAGTTGTGATAATCGCCACGGCCAGAGCTCTGGGCAACAAACCGAAAGTAGAGAATGAAAAACACACCGGAATGTCCACCACATTTCATGGAGTATTTCTGTATTCTTAAAAAAACGGAAATACATGTAGTCCAAAAAGAAAGTCCTGGGATTCACGAAAAGTGTTTCACGTCCATAGGACACCACCAACCCTTGATCAGGTGGCAGAATGCTACTCCTAAGTGCGGCATGAGGACAGGTCAGACTCACAAACCGCTGGCAAAAAGATCAATTGCTACATAGCGAACCCAGCTATACTAGTATCAAAGGTGTTTTCTTGAAAAGTTCGAGCTAGCAAGATTCACTAGAAAGCAGGAAACTCAATGTCTGGACAGCTGGCTGTTTCGATCTCGCTAGATCTTGTCAGCGGAGATCAGAGTTAGTGGCCGAACCGATCGTAATGAAGTCCAAAAATAACCAAGCATTTAAACTGGCTCAAAGCATTAAAGTCAGAGTGCTCTAATTGCGATCAACACAGCCATAGTCCTAGGGCCCATTTGAAATTTCTCACTTTTACTTGACACATGTTTGCTAACATAGATTTTATGATCATTCCTGGATGGTTTTCGCCTCCTGAACACGATGGCATAGGTTTCGATTGCCGAATTGTGTCCGAACATGGTGAAAAACATCAAAATAGAAAAGGTCGTTATTACCATGGCAACCCAACTAGAATGGCTCCTATATCCATTTTTACTGACACGTATATGGCCAAGTAACACCTCATTTTGCTCAGAATAAGCAGTAGATACAGTACGGCAACAAGTACTGTACTTTAACAGTGTCAAAACAAAATTTCCAAAGTGCAGTGAAACTACTTGGCTATTGGACATGTTCATGTACATTTACATGTCGCGTCGAATGTTAGCATTGAGGTACGTGTACATGTATGTGCAGCTAGCAGGTACATGAGACTATTTACAGGCATGCATTACTATAATTATCAGACTGCAAACACGAGAGAAGCGTCAGACGGTTCGGCGTTACACTTCAACTGAGAGAATAGGTATTGTAACCCAAATACTAACAGGAGAAGGAAAAGGTGGTAGGAAACTGTCAGAGTCTAAGGAACGAAGTGCTATAGGACAGTTTCAACCTGAACTAATTTACTCGAAGTACGTGTAGATAATACGATAGATCTCGCAGCAATGTAAGAAGGACAACACTACTTGTATGCGATGGCAGTGCTGTAACGAAAAATGATGAAAATGAAAATACCAAAATCCTTTGCATAAAACAGTCCAAACATTGGCTAGCTTGTCACTGTACTTAAATGCTTTGTAAAGACTTCAAGGCTGCAGTTGGACAACGCTCACATGTGAATAGCTGCAGTTTAAAAAGCTGATCGATCCCAACATTGTGATGCGAATACTTTCGCTTCCATGTGTTTCCCTTTAACTGAAGTTGTTCTTCCGTCTGAGCTTCGGAAACTCTACGCCGTACAGCTGAGCCCATCTCTACTCCGCCACCTACACCATCACTGTTGGCTCTGCAGTCAGGGACAATTCTTTAGCCACTAGTACATGAGGTATTATATGAACATGTTTTCCCTCTTCACCACCGCTCTTGAATCGCATCAACTACGTGCCGTGATCAGTTCAGGAGAGACAAGCCATGACATTGGACATCGGACTCTTTCTTGCAGTTAGTGTTTTATAAGTATAACTGTAGTTTCACACTGCCTAGGCCCAGCCATCAAATTCTGCGACAAGGAAATGATTCACCTACTGCTGGTGTTGCATATTGGGATAGGTTACCTCCAGGTACTCGGATTTCGTTTTTGTAACACTCCACACCACATAGCTACTCCCTCTCACTGCAGCATGGCACTCCTAAGGCAGTTGTCCTAGAGCTGTTGAGCTGGTAAAGAGGCTTTGTGATAATGGTAGCTGATCACCACGGTCGGTGTGTTCAAATCATGGTACTAACACTAGCCGCTCTTGTAGATTCAAATCAAAAGCTCGTCCCCTGCAACACTGTAACACCTCCTGTGCAGCAGTACTCACAAAGTAAATGCCTTTATTCCAGCCCGATGAAGTTAGCCAGGTCTGAAACTTTCCACGGTTGTAGATTAGTCCTACGAATAGTTACAACTGGCTTGGCAAGCTATGATGACTTTCCCCTGCTTTCCACACATAATTGTTGTGCTGCTCCTTGTTGGAATCATGCCTACTTTTCCGGGGAGCCAAGATGACATTGTAATGAAGGTTCTGCTGAATTTAGCATCGATCCATTCGTGGACGTTCCGACAGCAAAAGCACCAGCGAGTCAATGCAAAACTTTGAAGAAAGTGTCCAAACGAGGTACCACATTTCTGGTATGTCACAACTACACTACTTGATGCTCAATCTTTCCAACTCTCGCACAAAATCAGTGTACGCGCTGGTTCGCATCCTGTGTATGTACAGTGTTACTATAGCTCCTGGCACATAAAAGGGTAAAAACTCCCAGGTCCAGTCAATATAGTACCGAGAAAGTCTTGAAAATGCTTGAATACAGCCGATGAGAACTTAGTTTTTTCGGCAATTTTGTATTCCTATCGAGGGTGATTTCGGGACCTTTGGACGCGATTGGACTCGCCATACTGGGCCAAGATGCTCTTGAAGACATTATCTATCAAATAACACCGAAAAATCTTTGTTAGCCAACATGTGTCAAGGCATGTATTTTAGAGGTCGATTTTTTGAATTGGCCCCAGTACTACCAGCGTTTTAGTAGAAGCAGTAGACGTGGAAAAGACACTCACCCCATCTCTCTACATATGCAGAGTTTGGATAATGCCCCTACTTGGAAGTGCATTCGAACTCACTTTTCCTCTACTCTGATAGAGTCCTCGTCAGACATATTCTTCAACGGCTTTGTAAAGACATTGTTCAGAGCACTGGCATGATCAATACTGAGGTATGCTGGGATAAGAAGTAAATTTTCCGGCTCGTAGATACAGTAAAACCTGTCTAAGACAACCGCTCAAGGGACCTTCAAAATGTGGTCTCTGTTACCAGGTGGTCGCCTTATCCAGGGTCATTTGACAGTAAACGGCATCTCTTGGTCCTGATTTCAGCGGTCTTTTCGGACAGGTGGTCGCCTTATCCGAGTGGTCGCCTTGACAGGTTTTACTGTATAAACACATCTTATAAGAGTTTTACTCTGCACAGAAGTGCACTCAGCACATAACATGTGGAGTGTCTTTGCCGTACCTGACATCCGTGGGGAACACCTCTGGACACACCAAGAACAAGGACACCATCACCACCGTCACAATATACTTGAGCAGCATGGCAAAGACCAGCTTCACGGTTTGCTCGGTCGCTGCAAGACAGTGCGGATCCAGAAACAGAACGAAAGAATTTCTAGCCCGTGCAATAGTCATTAGACTTTACACAAACGTGAAGAAACATGTGGGTTAAACTCCACCACTCTTGTTTGGCCAGGAAAACTCATGAATGATGAACAGGCGATTCCGTGCTAGCACTAAATTGCGAAGCAGACAGCATAAGTTGAGCTAAGATACGAATAACAAATGGAGAGCACAACTCTTGAATCCACTGAAAGTCATATCCAATCATAAGATAAGATTCACTGAGTAACACCTACTGTCGTCTGGGAATTTCCAGAAGATCACGGCCACGATAACCAATGCTAGAAGTGTCGCTGTTTCACAGGCCAGTAGCACAGGCTTTCTATTAAACCTGGACAAGGATGGGAGGTGCAAAATGGAAAGGATGCGTATACAACGTAATATGGGAGCGATAGAGGTTTTTCCATACGAGTAATTATATTGATATGCACGGATACGGGAAACTGACGCAAAAACACTGCACACAAGTCTACTCGTTAGGGACTGTATCACGTGGCAGTGCACCCTTAAAGGGGAAGTTAAGGCAAAAATCAAAATTTCACCAGTTGTGGTCTTCGGGGTGCTGAGTCGAATGGTCGTGGTCCGAGGAAGCTGAGACGCTCCCTTCCTACTTGAATCCCAATCGAACTCGCGCAGTTCCACCGAAACTGGGTGACTGCGCCCTACTAGATGGGGATTTGTATGAAAAATGTCACTAAAAGCGCCATTTCGTTCTTATAAAAGCACGGATGACCGCGATTGGCCCATATGTTGTAGTCTTTTGGACGCTGAGTCGACTGGTTTTGGTCCGAAAAGGCTGCGATGCAGCGTTCCTCCTTTATTCCCAATCGAACATGGTTGAACAAGCGGTCACGTGCTCCTGGGTGCCCAAATCACCTGGTCACCACGCCAGCAGGCGACAACTTTCACACCAAGGTTCAACTCGAGTGACAGGACTGCACCCAAAAAAGGTCAAACAGGCTGGTAAGTTGTACCCTGCAGGCACGGCGACCAGGTGACTGGTGTACGCAGGAGCACGTGACCACTTCTTCAACCATGTTCGATTGGGAATAGAGGAGGAACGCTGCATCGCAGCCTTTTCGGACCAAAACCAATCGACTCAGCGTCCAAAAGATTACAACATATGGGCCAATCACGGTCATCCATGCTTTTATAAGAACGAAATTGCGCTTTTAGTGACATTTTGCATACAAATCCCCATCTAGTAGGGCGCAGTCACCCAGTTTCGGTGGAAGTGCGCGAGTTCGATTGGGATTCAAGTAGGAAGGGAGCGTCTCAGCTTCCTCGGACCACGACCATTCGACTCAGCACCCCGAAGACTACAACTGGTGAAATTTTGATTTTTGCCTTAACTTCCCCTTTAAGACACGCAAACCATCCTGCATATGGAAATCATGGTCATTCTCACAATATTTTGACTCAGGGGTGTCACACACGGTATGACCAGTACGACCATGGTCGTACCACTTTTCGTCCAGGATGGTCCCCTCAATTCATCCACTAAAGTAATAAAAGAGCGCTAAAACGTGCCCTGTTGGTCAAAAAATCCGAGTTTGTGAGATCAGTAATGTTAACGAACATTTAATTCCAACGATTTAGCAAATCTAAAAATTCAGTTAACATTTGAAGTTGTTGTGTGCAAAGAGATATGTACATGTAGTCATTTGCCGGTTTCGAGACAGAATTCGTTGGAACTTCACCTCACTAGCCCACAAAAATCCGGAGATTGCTAACTTGAATTGAAGTTAAAATGCCTGGTCTGACGGTAATCATTGTTTAGTGGTAATGGGCAGCCAAACATTGCAGGAGGGCACAGTGTGAGGCAATGGTACTTTTGCCACAATCCCTGTGTATGCGCGTGGTTTTACGCGCTGCTACCCATGCATGCGTGTGTGAGTGTGCCCTCCCCCTTGTATCAACACACAGATGACATCACCACACAGCATGACGAGCAAGTTCATGTGAAATTCATCCCAATGCACATACTGTGGCTTACTTTCTGTTCAAGAACATGGACGTGATACCAGATGGTAGCTCAGCCAGGGAGATCAGGAAGAAGTTGACGTAGAGGTCACTGGACAGGCCGTTCTTTGTGAACAAAAGTCCGAAATATATGGAAGATGCCGTAAGCCTGGACAGCAAGAGCAGAGCCATAGTATAGAATAGAGTATTAAATTATGGTATCACCTATACTGTACATGTACCCAGATGATGGCTGGTCTGGAAAAACAATGCACGCAGAACCGAAATAGAAGAGATATTTTACGCGTGTCTTGAGATTAGAGTACGCAAAGCAAGTCCAGTACGCAGTGTGCGTGGATGTGCGTCAACTTGCCCGAAACCCCTTTCCAGGGGTCATGAGGTCAATTCAAGGCTTGGATACATTTTTGACTGATTTACATCATGATCCTAGGGTCTCCTTATTAATACAGTGAGCCCTGTTAAGAAGAATACTGATAAGACCAACTTTTGGCTTTAGAAGAACTAATACTGTAAATATACAAATTTTCGGCAGGTATTTAATTTCGGCTATATTCGGCACCGACCCAAAACGCCTAAATTAAAACGCCGATGAAATTTTTCACAGCATCTGCCGCACTATACCATGCCCTCTACTCCACGCCGAAAATAAATCGCCGCCGAAATGTCAAAAATCGTGAAGTGCCGAAATTTTGCAGCGCCGAAATTTTGTATATTTACAGTACTCAATCTGCGGACAGCATGCTGTTTCGTTCTTTTTGAACTCATCAGCGCAGCACAGAGGAAATGAGGCCGAACCTGATAGGAATGGAAATAAAAATTTCCAATCAGGCCCGAACGTACCTTGCCAGAGTGCTCAAACTGACAAGTCAGTGAGCTCTGCATAACGCAAACAGCAAAGGCACTACCCCACGCAAGAGTGCTCAACTGCTACAAGAGCAGGCGCGAAATACTCAATCTGCGGACAGCATGCTGTTTCGTTCTTTTTGAACTCATCAGCGCAGCACAGAGGAAATGAGGCCGAACCTGATATTTACCTGATATTTACAGTATTGAAAGGGCTTGCTCCCCACACTGGAGCTCGCGCTATCCCGCCGATTGGACTTGACACTTGACTGACTCACGACTGCCATCCAGAGCACACGAGAAGTCCATCGAACCTTCAACTCGGCAAACCTGCAAGAAGGCACCGCTCCCTGCTCAATAAACAGTGTTCTGGGGAATTCACAGAGACGCTGACTCACGCTGCTATCTGGTATTCACGAGGTGTTTATCGCGCTGGAAACGGAGTGTCTCTGTAAGTTTGTATCCCTGGTGATGTTTGTGCCTGGACAGCACCATATATGTGGTTCTCTGCAGGCGCAATCTTCCTCAGCTTACTCAAGCTCAACTGATGAGGTGTGATGGCAAGCATAAGTCAGTCAAGTGTCAAGTCGAGTCGGCGGAATAGCGCGAGTTCCAGTGCGGGGAGCAAACCTGTTCCTAACAAATCATCGCCGAAGTCGCTACCACTATTTAATAACTATTATTCATCACTCTATTGGACAATTACTGTGCGTTCACATGGAATAGAAGTACAAGTAGGGGTAAGAAGATCACCGGTCATTAGGAACAAATACGATCGGCTCCTTGGTGTTTGTCATGAAGAGGTTTTACTGTACTGCAGAGGTCTAGCCAGGATTTTATGCCAGCCGGCCAACGTTCTAGTGAAAATGCATCGTTCTGGGGGCTGCGCCCCCAGACCCCCGCCATCAGTCACATATCCACACAGACACACACACACACACACCACTACAAATCTTTCATTGCAGCTTGCATCTCCTTTCGCTTCGTCCAATTATGGACATTTATCAGGCAGTTGTGACAATGACATTGTGACTATAGGTAAATTAACAAAAATAATTAATATGAAAAAGGAAACAAACAGCTACATCAGCATGGATCATGTGTTCACTACAACGTGGAGGAACTATTTGAAGTGCCACAACTAAAGCAATGCAGTGCCTGAGTGGTCCGCCAAAACAACTGGAGTAGTATAGTGTACAATGCCAATGGTCATGTGTTCCAAAATGCAGCATGCACAAGACCCAGCCTAGCCGGCCACGAATGGCCCACGATATGACAGTCCAGACTGGCCAGAGTCTGTAGCTGTCAGTGTCACAGCTAGCCGTGTACCCACCAGAAGCAGCGAACCATGACCCCACCTAGCACCTGTTACATTTTACTGGCACTCTGCGCAGCACCAACCGTACATGTACTCAAGTGCATACTCAATAACAAGTGCATTTCAGGGTGAGTGAAGAGCTAGCACTGAGCCTGAGTAGCCTCTGCTACGTAGTCATGGTAGTGCAGTGCACTTACGGGATCTACGCAAGTACAGTGCACTGTAGTGCAGTGCCAGTACACACGGTGGAATGCTACCGGTATTCGGACATTGTAGTGGCAGAAACTGGACCTATTTTCGACAGCTGACAGTGGTCGACTCTTACCTTGGCGGAGGATAGTGGGCTTGGTGACATGATTGAAAGAAAAATGATCCCGAACACAGCATGCTACAAATACTTGTACTTGTAGAAACTGAAAATTTCTCTGAATCTCAATTGTTTGCCAGCCGGCCAAAATAACCCTTGGAGCTGTCTCAGCCGGCAGGTCGCCCTCCCAGCCGGCATTCTGCCGGCTGAGCCGGCTTTGGCTAGGCCTCTGGTACTGTGTGTCCCCAATTGTAAGTCACACTCCTATTTCCAGGTCTACGTCATATCGTTTCGGTATATTCACTTCAGTAGTAAGTCGTGCTCGATTGTAAGTCGCACCTCCTTTGTTGGCCCTGAAGTTGAGTGTAAAAAGGTGCGACTTATATTCGGGGAAATACGGTATGTAATAACAGACGTTCTGTACATTCCTCTGTTACACGATCGGTTACAGACTTACCAGATAAAGAAGAGACTGAGGATGTGGTAGCGGAGATCACTGCGTACTAGCCGCACGATTTTCCAGGTTTCCTTTTTAGCTGCTTTTGGCTCGTGGGTAACCTCGCAGTCTTCGTGAACACCTCCAAACGCTTGCCTCTCGACAAGCTGAAAAGTATCCGTTGCAGAGCTGTGTGTAGAGCCTCTGAACGGCCAGTGCATGATCTTCTCCACTGTGGCTGCAAGCTTGGCATTACGCCGCTGAGAGTAGAGCCACTGCGGCGATTCGGGTAATATCCTGCAAAGAAGTGAAAGAAACACTCCAAGATGAGAACCACTCAGCATGATATGTTTCACAATCGCTATTATTGGGACAGTGTATCGGGTCACCTGTATCTCAGACTGTCACCGAGCAATCGACTTTACATACCCAAGGGTGACGTGCGGCTCAATCTGCTTCAAGAATATCATGATTGCATTAGTGCTGGGCATCCGGGACGTGATCGTACGTCTTTCTATTGGCCCCGAATGGGTATAGAACTATACCTATACATAAGCGTACATGTGGCAAAAGTCTGTGAACGACACGAGGATGCTTGACTCTGATCAGCATCTAGGCCAAGCGTACTTGCCTATAGAACTGGTTGGGAACTACCCTTGTTCATGAGATTGAGCATGACTTGACTTGCTCATGATAGTTAGAGATTACACTTTGAAAACCAAAATATGTTCAATTCCTCAGACCGGGTTTTTCGAAGTGTGTACGAGAGTATCAGGTGTTTTCTATCGGCAAACCACCAATCGCCACTGGTCAACGAGCTTGCATGTGCAATTACCCCCCACCCGACACGCTCACCACCACCACATCCTGGAACTGCTCCAAGTTAGCACTATCCGAAGGTATTGAGCACGGTTTGAGTGCTGTAACCGTAACCATTATGCTACATGTGAGGAAAGTCTACCTGTAAGATAATAGGTACTGTGCGAACATACTCTTTCTGTACACAAGTATGTAGGTATGGCGTACCCTTTCAGTGGTGGGACACCCCGTGTATCTGAAGTTTTTATCAGTCCTTAATAACTCGACACCACGCTCTACAACCACATTCTACACCCTAGACCATACCATGTCATGATAAGAAAGAACATACCATGTCATGATAAGAAAAAACATACCATGTCATAATAAGAAAGGGGATGGCCAGACACCATGTGAGGATGTCCATGCGAACCCAGTTAGAACGCATCAGATAACCGACTAATGCTAGCAAGCAAAGGCCCACAACAAAGGCTCCGTTTGATGCTGGCGTGACAATGGCGCGCATCCGAATCGGGACGAACTCGATACTCAGCACAATGCTAGCTAGCAGTAGCACATGACTGGCTGCGCCTACGTATGCAGCATGTGACAGCATGCATAAACAACACACAGACACACACACACACACACACATACATACACGCACATACATACACAGATACACACAAAACACACACACATACGCAAGTACACAGACACACACATAGACACCCATATAGACACACACACATAGACACACATACAAACACACATACAAACACATACACACACCATAAGCACGGAAAAAATCTAGTCTCATACCAGTTAACTACATAGGCGACAACAATCTAGTGGTATGAAAACATAAGAGGCGCTCTGAGATGCTGCCAGATACCGTATTTTACTGGTTGTAAGTCGACCTTTTACGACTTAAAATAGAAGGAGAAAGGGTGGGGGTCGACTTACAACAGGGATTCGACTTATAACCGGGAACTATCAGTATCTTACAAAAAAATGACCTGCACTGCATGCACGAGGTGCACTATGTGTACACATTTTTCCAGTTTATTGGTCTTTTCAAGGATTGGGATGTTATAACCTCCAATAAGGAATGTTTACATGATTTGTTGATGTGTTAAGAGCAGGGAGTGGTTAGTAGTGCTTCCTTGGGTGAGAACTTTAAAACGCAGAATTGAGACCTCCGGATACGGGGGTCGACTTAGGGGTCGTCGCAAAAAGTTTTCTGTCGTCCCTGAAACGAACATCGTTCATTTCGTACTTGGACCCCCTCCCCTCCCTCTGAAACGAACACAGCTTGCTAGGCTGGACGACGAAAATCACATGCATGTACATGTCGTGTCAACAGTACATAACCCCCCGGGGGGTTATGTACTGTTGGTCGTATGTACAGTGTCGGTCGACTTGCGATTTTGGCTTGCACCCCTCCCCCCCCAAATGAATCATGTTCGTTTCAGGGACGACAAAAAACTTTTGCGACGACCCCTTACAACCGGTAAAATACGGTCCTTCCTTTTCAATACCACTTTCAACTACCTGGCACCCTAGGGCTGATTATTTCAGGGTATTGTACCCGATGGGTACTGATGATCTTAGCTAGCGACTTCCTCAACACAATAACTGTCTTTAGGAAGTTGGTCTGCTGATTTCCCCTTGAAGCGCTGATAATTATTACTTCAGAACCATCATTGCTCCAAGGTGAAATCATGCTGTATCTAGAGAACATCCCCCGACATCAGAATTAAAATTGCTTCGAGCACAAAGATCTAAAGGATACGCCACGAGGAAAGGTAAGTTTCCCGACCTGCAAGAAATCGTGACGCTGCAAAGCTGTAGTAGTTGGGTGAGAGCACCGTCCAGATGCCCGATACGATGAGTGATGTCAGTCCCGTAAGCAGGGAAACACGCCGTCCAAACACGTCCGCAAGTACTCCTGCTGCCAGCCCGCCAACCAGCAAACCCATAGAGAACAGTATCTCTGCAAGCTTGAGTTGCTTTTCCTGGTCACAAAGCAAATTGTACTGCAAACACACACACACATACACACACACACACACAAATGCACATATGAGTTGCTTTGCGCGAACACACACATACACATACATGCCTACACACCTGTCCTGTCCTGTCCTGAACATTGTCGTTTCCGGTTACATGTCCCCTCATGTCAAGGGCCGACACACATGACATACACACACACACACACACACACACACACACACCATGTACCACACACACACACACACCATGTACCATGTATACGTCCGTCGCAAGAGAAGCACTCAAATCTGCAAATGCACTGGATGTGCACTTACAAATTTTCTCTTATAGCAACGATAGCGAACAAGATCTGAAAGAGACAGATCAAGATTAGCTCCGGATAACTGCCCAATCCACACAACCTGCGAAGCCATGTGAATCGACCACCAGTGCACACCTGGTCTACACCAAACGGAGTACATCGGCATAAAACGGCCAAGACAGTTGATTGTGGAGCCGAAATTAGTCCAAATTCCAATTGCTTTGGCAAGAAAGTAGCCTTCCGACACACACACACACCAGGGGTGTAGCACCCGCTACGACTGGTACGACCATGGCCGTACCACGTTTCGAAAAGTGTGGTCCGTCCGAAACGTGCAAAACCGTAATAAAAAAATCAGGATCCATCGATGCATATACGCATCAGACTTTGACCTTTTTCTAGACTCGTACTCGTAGATCTGTTATGCATCTGCAGTCGTTGATCTGTTATGCATCTGCAGTCGTAGATCTGTTATGCATCTGCAGTCGTACTGAGTACTGTATTACAGTGTATACTCGACTCGACTGCACACTGCGCCAGAAGTGTGCCAGAAGTTCCCAGAATGCAGGATTTTGTGTCTTTTTACAAAATTTTCCCGCGGGACATCCCCCGGACCCCCCTACAACACGGCCTTTGGCCGCACCGGCCTTCGGTTGTACCACTTCCAAAACCCTTCCTACGCCCTGCACACACACACACACACACACACATACACACGTGCACGCATGCACGGACACACACACACGCACACACACACACACAAACACACACACACACACACTCAGATATGCCCATCGCTCAAGAAACAACATGACATCCTCTAGTTCATGTTCATCATATTAAAGTCATAGCAGATAACGAAATCGGGAACCAGCTTGGTCATTCAATAATGACGCAATCGCCCAGCTAGTTCCCAAGTTAGTGGCCACGAAATGTAAGCAGTAAGACCACTGTAATGGTAAAACCCCCTCCATACAGTTGAGTTGTACCGTATTACGGTAAGACCTCGCTTATCCGGTCCTCTTTTATCCGGATCCCTCGCCATCCGGAAGAAAATCGTTGGTTACCGATTTACAGCATATGTCATGCATACATACAGTATGTGTGTTCGAATATCCGGTTTCCTAGCCTATCCGGATTTTTTTTGCGGATAACGGGTGTGTACGGTTAACTAAACGAAGTCTGACTGTTATTACTCTGGTCTTTCATGCATTTTCTATTTATCACATGACTCCTGTCCGGACTCAAGTGCATGCGCTTTGACTTGGATGAACCTGTGCGCATCTGATTCGTGATCTCCTTTGATTTATTGGTCCTTCCTGGGTTCTTCACCTGAAAGGAGATTCGTTCTTGTTCTGTACATGTACATGTACTAGTTCCATTCTCCAAAGCAGAGTTGCATGTTCTCGGGGATATAATAGGCTCTTGTCACTACACTTTGTAGTAATACAAATAGTGACTGGAGCATAATGCGCAGCCGAAATCAATTATTTGATGCAGCTAACAAAGCGGGATACAGTGATAAATTGTTTTCCGAATAGTTACAGTGAAGAAAATGAATGAAATAATGTCCGTACCTTTGCCGCAACTGTTCGCTCGTTATGTAGCGTATGAACAACATCTTGGCACATGTGTTCATTCCAGATAGAACAGTTGGAGTCGGTCAACGTCTCCGTCACGTTGTCGATCACTGCCGTACATGTCCAGTGCTCGGCGGGACGAGCAAGGAACACCTCGCCGTTCAAGCCGAACTGAATTCCCGCCACGATCCAAACACCCAATGTGTTCGCGACGACGCAGCGCGTCAGACGGGTCAACGACGTTAGATTGTTGACAGTAGAGATCAGCTCCTGGCCATTGCACGCCGGTTCTAGCGGTAGTGTAGGGTACTCCGAGTCTGACATTCCGTATCTTTAGACTTTACCCTAAGAACTGTTTCCGACACTCGCCAAGAAACATGCAGACCAAAATGTTGACATGACGTTTCAATGTGAGTTTTTCAGTTTCTGAACAAGGGCAAGGGACTACAGTCATGCACAATCATGTACCATGTGTACAGGTCAGTGTACATAGTGTAGGCACATGATTTTACTCCGTACTACTACCGACCGTAGTTAGTCACGTCAAAAGTATACTACTATTAGTATTACTACATGACATAGTATGACATCGTTGTGAGCTCGACAGACTCGCGACAGAGACAAAAAACTACTCACTGGAAAAAGCCCCACACTCAGTTTTGGCCAAAAACGAAGAAAAAGAAAAAGACGTACGTACAGGTAGGTCATGATCATGGTCATTGACATAAGTCATTGTAGACTACCGGTAACAGTTAGTCATGGCATGGCAGTACTCAGTAGTCGACATTCCGGTACATGACTACACTGATGCCGGGACTAGACTACCTTGATAACCATGATAACGAGCACCAAAATAGAAAAAATAGTATTTGCAAAGTACTACATGATGACTACCGTACTGGCAATATATGTTGCCGCAGTGAGGCCATGAAGCGTTACATTGGCCCATGTTTGCCGCACGCAGGGCGTTACATGCAAAGTCGCACAGGAGCCGTTACACAGGTTTCTATATTGCCGCAGTCCTTTTTTTGCTATTGCCGCATCACTTTTTTGCTATTGCCGCATCATTTTTTTGCTTTTGCCGCATCATTTTTTCTTGTGCAGTGCAAACTGCAATGAAAAGATCGCCGCACCCCGCCGGACGCGCGTTACGAACTCAACGAAAATTTGTCGCACTAGCCTGGTCGCGCGTTACGCCGCACCCCCTGCGTTACGCGTTACGCGGCAACATATATTGCCAGTACGGTATATAATTTTATTATTCTAAAATATGTAGTTAAAAAAAGGTAGTGATTGTAAAACAACACGTCATAATGCAATCACCCAGTCTGTACTCAAGCATACCCATGCCATGGACATCTACTGAGTGAACAACCTAACTTCCTAAGCAGTGCAGGGGGCCGTACGTAAAATAATATCGATGTTTTTTTTAGAGACGATAATTTGTTCATATCTCCCCAGACCTCCCCCCCCCCCCCTAATACGAACATACAATACATTTTAGGGGCCGTCCAAGGTTACCAATACTATTTTCAAAACGAAAAGTTTTCGTTTGGGGGTGGGTGGGTTTGATTGAGTTTCGTTTTGAAAATAATTATTGAATGCAGATGGAGAATGCCCAGTTACGTCTGGGTGTCGAAAATTGACATCAATATTTTATTGGAATCCGTTTTACCTGCAGAAAAGGTGGGTGGGTGGGTGGGGGCTGAAAAATACTATAACTTTTCGTTTTGTAAAAACAATCGGTAACCCCGGACGGCCCCTTATGCAGTGGACCGATATTTTTTATATTGAACGGTTTGTGTGTACAGGTACAATGAAGGTACATAATACTTACTGCAGTACTGTAGTTGTACAAGTCACAAGGTTCAAGTGCCTGCATGCTGCACGGTGCACGAGCCGCGACAAGCAAGTACAAGGTGCATACCCAAAAAAAGCGTATGTGAAGATCGATATATTTTTCCGCCAAAAACAACGAACAGCGTCAAAACCCCCTCCCCCCCCCCCCCCATGCGAACGCAGTGACCATGGTGACTCCTATCCACATAAGAATGATGACACTGAACAACAGTGAGTATACTTGTACATGTACATGCATCTCAATAGGGAAATACCCATGCAGGCTAGCACCAACACAAGAATGATTGCCGCGAAATTGTTTCTAAGTTGATGAATACGATGCTACAAGGACAGCACCGAGCACATCGTTCGGAACGGTTTCTACTTCCTAGTCATAGCACATGATAGACATACGATCATCCACAATGATCTCTGGCTTGCCACAGTTGCAAGTAAACGAGACAAATAATAATATTATAATCTGAAATACACATGAATGCATCAGAAAGCTCAACATAGGCAGCACAATTTATTATGGTACAATCCTCAGCGCTCACGCCCAGAAGCAATAGACCTGAAGCCCAAAATAGCTTTGAATGATTTTGCACAAGACCGCAAGATAGAATAGATTATGTTTCACTGCACTGGACATAAGCACCAGTGGTGCATACATGTAGCTGTACTAAATATTTCAACAATACCATAGCCCTACAGATTATTAAATATCTGGGTGGGGGGGGGGGGGGGGGGTGTTCAAGTGCTGTTTGCTTCATCAATGAGTTCACAAGCAGTGACGTACTCTGAAAAATTGACCCAGGCCGACAGTCAGCATGCACATGTGTTCAGTGATAGGGGGAAGGAGGGGGGGGGGGGGGCTATAATAATATATTTAAAAAAAAACTTGGACAGATTGGGCATTTACGGACGGTTGCAAAGTATACATAAACTTTACACATGTCATCAAGGTGATCAGCAGAAATATAGCATAATGACAGTGCAGTACAATCAGCGCATGACCTGACTAGATTTGTACAATAATAATTAGAACGTGTTGGAATGCCTGGGAAGCTGTGCGCGGCAGTGCATGACACTCACGGATCACTTGCATCCAGTACGCAGTCAACAGATTGAGTGCATTGTACTGTAGCAACCATGCGTATCTCTGGCAATAGTCGCTATCGTGATAGTGTCATGGCAAATAATTGGCAATTGTAGCGGTAGCTACTTAGAGTAGTTTCGCCTGAATCTTTATTGCAGAAGGGGGAACATTATCGGACACGGAAAAGCACAACTAACTACAAGGAGAGCAGAAACGAAGAGAGCTCTACACAGGAATCACTGTGTAGAGAAGACAGAGAGCGGAATAGACTACGGCGCTGCGTGCACACAACAGCGACCGGAAGCAGCGTGCCCAGTACGGGATGCCATGTATAGATGGAGCCCGAGGGCAGTGCACTCAGACATGAATACGCACGCGCACCCGAGTACTGCATTCAGTGCGGGGACTGTGCCATAGAAGGGGAAGGGTTAGTGATGCGCAGCCAGCAAGTACAGCGGTACATGAATGCATGAGTCTATGGTACAGCAGGCAGGGTGCGGTTCTTACACACGTACGCACGTTAGATCAATGCGAGTGAGTGTAGGGAGTAGGAAGGAGAAACCAGGAGACAGACAATGCTATGCCTAGGGATAGAGTTCTGTCATGATGCTACTCATTACACTACATCTCCCCTAACGGAAAGAGTGGAAGGTCCATGTTCATATGGTCGAGATAAGCCGCTCAGGTGCAATGGCTTTGCGACCTGAACGCGTAGTGGAGGTGGCACTTGTGCCGGCCTCGGCAGCAGCTGGTGTGCCGTCGCAGCTCGCCACGGGAGATTCTCTGCCGCGTGTCCCGGTGGCCTCGGGCTGCAGGGCGATGGGGGCTGCTGGTGTCTCCACTTCTGCTGGGCTTGGCGGGAGTGGCCGGAGGCTCCTCGCGTTTCGACGTACGGTGGAGGTGGCTGTCTTGACATTGTAAGATCGCTCGCTGAGCTGTAGCTGTACCACTCCTTCCTGGCGCAGGTCTGTAACCCACACCCGGTCCCCCGCTGCGAGCCGACTGGGCGACCGGACACGGTGTCTGCGGTCGAAGTCCGAGGCTTGCCGGTCCTGCTGCTGAGCTTCTCGACGGCGAACCAGATCCAGGTCTGGCCAGGCTGGTGTCAGCTGGGCCGCGGGTGTTGGCACTGTGGAGCGGAGTTGCCGCCCCATTAACAACTGAGCAGGGGTGAAACCACATTGCAACGGGGTAGAGCGATACGCGAGTAGAGCTGTCGGGAGGTCGGTGGACTTGCGGAGTAGCTCCTTGATGGTGCGCACTGAGCGTTCTACCATGCCATTGCTCTGCGGGTAGCGAGGTGAGCTGGTACGGTGCTCGATATCGTGACGGGTCAGGAAGAGTGCGAACTCCGAGCTAGCAAACTGCGGCCCGTTGTCCGAAACGAAGCTGTCTGGGAAACCGTGCCGCGCAAAGTGCATGTTGAGGGCCGCAATGATGGCGGCGGAGGTGGTGGTGCGGAGCTGATCCACTTCTACAAATCGGGAGAAGTAGTCAACCGTAATCAGGTAGTCGATACCATCCAGTGTGAAGAGGTCGGCCGCAACGCGCTGCCATGGGCGGTCTGGGAGTGGCAGAGGGTGCAGTGGAGCTGCGGGGACCAGGCGTGTCCGGCTGCAGACTTCGCAGTTGCGGACTGTGTCGGCGATCTGACTGCTAAGCCCTGGCCACCACACTGCTGCCCGGGCACGGGCACGGCACTTGGTGACGCCCTGATGACCCTCGTGGATTGCACGTAAGACCTCGGACTGCAGGGACGCAGGTATGACTAGCCGATCGCCGAAGTACAGGCAGCCATCGGCGATGGAGAGGGCCTGCCTGGAGTGGAAGTATGGGTGGAGGTTGTCCGGGATGCTGTGCTCTTTGTCGGGCCAGCCGGCGGCAACGAACTGGCGCACCTGAGCGAGGATGGCCTCATCGGCTATGGCGAGGCGAACACGGCTGCAGAAGTCGGGCGATGCATACTCAGCCGAGACGGCGGACACATGGGCTTCGATGTCGTTGATGACGTCGGCCATGGTGGAGGTTTCGGTGCTGTCGTCGCCGGGAGCCCGGGACAGAGCATCTGCAACTACGAGGCGTGGACCCGGCACGTAGACAGCTGTCACGTCGTATCGGAGCAGCCGCATGAGCATTCGCTGGCACCGGAGTGGCGTGTTGTCGAGGTCCCTGGCGTTGATCAATGGCACCAGAGGCTTGTGATCGGTTTGCACCTGAAACGGACAGCCACCCTGGAGGTACTGTGCGAAGTGGTCACAGGCCCATGTCACAGCGAGCAGCTCCTTCTCAATCTGTGCGTAGCGCTTTTCGGTATCGCTGAGAGACTTGGAAGCGTAGGCGACTGGGCGCAGCTCGCCGTCGTGCATCTGTAGTAGGGTAGCTCCGAGACCATAGCTGCTGGCATCAGCACTGACCGTGGCAGGCTTGGCTGGGTCGAAGAAGGCGAGAGTGCAGGCTTTAGCGACGAGGGACTTCAACTGGTCGAGTGCCGCCTGTTGCTGGGCGTCCCACAACCAAGCGACGTCAGTGCGGAGCAGTGCACGGAGAGGTGCGGAGATGCTGGCCAAATCGGGAATGAACTTCCCCACATAATTGAAGAGGCCTAGCAGCCGGCGTAAACCGGGGACATCAGTAGGAGCAGCCAGTTGCAGGATTGCCGCGACACGGTCAGGATCGGGCTGGACCCCGCTTGCACTGATCCGGTGGCCCAGGAATTTGACTGTCGGCTGGCGCAAATGGCTCTTGTCCGGGTTCAGAGTCACGGATGCAGCCGCTAGCGCCTCCCGAACTTGTTGTAGAGCCAGGTCATGGGCTTCAATGGTAGCACCGTACACTAGAATGTCGTCCATGAAGACACACACACCCTGTATTCCCTCCAGTATGGCCATCAGCCGACGCTGGAAAATCTCGGGCGCCGATGTGATCCCGAATGGAAGACGTCGGAACATGTAGCGGCCGAAGGGTGTGATGAATGTGGCGAGATGTTGGGAAGAAGCGGCGAGGGGTACTTGCCAGAAACCCTTGCGTGTGTCGAGCGTGGAGAAGACCGTGGCTCCGGCGAGCTTGGCAAGTGTCTCGTCCACAGTCGGCAAGACAAAGGACTCACGCTGCACGGACGCATTCAGACGCTTGAGGTCGACGCAGATCCGGACGTCACCTGATTTCTTGCGGACGGCCACCATTGGGGCGCACCACTCAGTGGGCTCGGTTACGGGCTCGACGATGCCAGTGTCCACCATTCGTGCTAACTCGGCCTCTACCTTCTGGAGCAGCGGGAAAGGCACCCGTCGAGCGACTGGGCAGTGATATGGCTGGGCGTCGGGTTTGAGCCGGATGGTGGCGGGCGGGCCTTGCATACACCCCAACGGCTCAGCACGCGTCGGGTCTGCCTTGATGTGGCCTATGCCTTGTCGGACGAAGCCCATGCGGATGGAGGCTTGTCGGCTCAGCAGATTGGCACCATCTCCAGCGAGCACGTAAACCTCGTGGTTGAAAACTTCGCCAGTGAGTGCCTGGCTGGCCACGGAAAACTGACCGGCCAGATTGAGCCGGGCGCCATCGGGTCCCATCAGGTTGGTGGATGGCCGCTTAAGTGCTGGGGCGGGCTGTAGGCTGGCAAAGGTGCTGGCGTTCATCACGGATGTATCCGCACCTGTGTCGACCTTGAACACCACCGGTGTTTGGCCGATCGTCACTGAGCGCATCCAGGGTCCGCCCTCCAGCAGGTTAGCATCGGTGACACCACCCATGAACAGTGACTGGCTCTGGTCTGGCGGCGACCAGCTGGCCGGCTGCACAGAGTGTGCTGACTGCTGTTGCGGTGCCTTGCTGGCCTTGGACAGGCACACCCTGCTGTAGTGGCCCATTTTACCACAGGAGCTGCACTTCTCAGACCGAGCAGGACACTCACGTCGGGAGTGTGTAGCCGGTTTCCCACACCATCTGCAGGGCTCCTGGCCTGTGCGGAGCGCTGGTGAGTGGTCGGGACGGCGCTGGCTGGGTGCGCTCGATCGTACTGCTGCTGCTTGCGGGGGTGCAGAGATCTCCAATTGGTGGCGCTGCGCCGCCACTTGTCGGTGCACCTGCTCGTAGTTCCTGGCGTGCGTAGCAGCCTTGGCCAGGTCTGGCTTGTCGAGCAGCTGGAGCTCGAGGGTGAGCTTCCTGTCCACCAGGTTGGCCATAAAGCGATCGCGGATGCGGTCATCGCGAGCGTCCTTGAACTCGCATTTGTCCGCGATGCGGTGGAGACGACGCAGAAACTCGTCCACGGTCTCGGATGGCGACTGGGTGGCGCGTTCGAACATCGTTCGTTCGTGGACGACGTTGGAAACGGGCTTGAAGTAGGCCGAGAGTTTAGTCTCCACTTCCTTATATTTCTCTCGATCACCCGCGTCGGCGAACGTCAGCTGCTTGAATACAGTGGTCGCCTGTGGACCCATCGTGTACAGCAGAGTTGCGACCTGTACGTCTTCGTCCTCTTTGTGCAGTTTCGTGACTTTTCGGAACTGGCGGAATCGCTCCAACCAGTCGTCCCATTGCGTCGGATCGGCGAAGTCAAACGTTCCCGGTGGCTGGAATCGAGCCATCCTGCCGTTGCGGAACAGGTTCGTTGCGGATCAATGTTACTAGTATTTTTCTTTCACTGATCCTGTTCACTGCGCCATGTAGCGGTAGCTACTTAGAGTAGTTTCGCCTGAATCTTTATTGCAGAAGGGGGAACATTATCGGACACGGAAAAGCACAACTAACTACAAGGAGAGCAGAAACGAAGAGAGCTCTACACAGGAATCACTGTGTAGAGAAGACAGAGAGCGGAATAGACTACGGCGCTGCGTGCACACAACAGCGACCGGAAGCAGCGTGCCCAGTACGGGATGCCATGTATAGATGGAGCCCGAGGGCAGTGCACTCAGACATGAATACGCACGCGCACCCGAGTACTGCATTCAGTGCGGGGACTGTGCCATAGAAGGGGAAGGGTTAGTGATGCGCAGCCAGCAAGTACAGCGGTACATGAATGCATGAGTCTATGGTACAGCAGGCAGGGTGCGGTTCTTACACACGTACGCACGTTAGATCAATGCGAGTGAGTGTAGGGAGTAGGAAGGAGAAACCAGGAGACAGACAATGCTATGCCTAGGGATAGAGTTCTGTCATGATGCTACTCATTACACTACAGCAATCACAGGTTTTCCTCTTCACGCATGATCCCCACAAAGGTCCCATGATATGACCACAGCACACAGTACACAGTACACAGCTCAATTCCTTGTCCGCTCCCAGGCAAGCATTGGCAACAGCATGCCCTCACTGTTCAATCTTCAGCCTCTACTCCAAGTTCTTGCTTGCCTTTCTGCACGTCCACTTGTGAGGTAGTCAGCAGTCGATCGCTGTGCAAGGCGAGTGTATCGAGTCGCCAGCGCACGGCACCTTCTAACTGGACTAGATGGCCATCGCAAGGGTTACGGTTGGCTGGTACGTGATGACGCAGCGCCGTAACCAGGCCGATCAGGTAGTCCACGCAGCTTCCGCTCTTGCCCCGGGCCTGTAGGATGTCGTTTGCCGTGTGCTGGAGGGTCCGCGTTGGGCCCATGTACTGCTCGTTTCTCTGCCGGGCGATGTACACTTCAGCGCAGATGACCTCACCGCTGAGGGTGCTTACATCACATCTCATCAGATCGTAGCCTGTCTCGCGCTTAGCAAGACGTGTCTTCGTCTTCTCCATTGCTTTGCGGCTAACTCGAAACGCCACACCCCACACCTCAGCCTAGGGAAACACACATACGAAGGAAAGAAACAGTTTGAGGAGCTGGATTTTCCTGAAATGAACAGATACGTAGCAGCTTTGCATGTATCTGCTACTCCTTGTATTCAGAGATATTCAGGGTTGTTACAAGAAGTGTGCATTCAATATTCTCCAGTCGTAGTTGCCTACCAATCCACCATGCGTGTCTGATACACCTCAGATAAGTTACATTCATAGCCAGTTCAAGCGCACCAGGGAACTACAGGTGAGCATGATGCTCATGCGTGCCTCAGATCTTGCATCATCAACTGGTTTTTTTTCTTTTTGCAAAATCAATTAGGTGGAGAGGATGGAACTCTCCAAAAACAACAAGTATCTCCAAAGCACGAAAAAAGGCCAAAAACTAAGCCAAGAACATGTGCATTAACATGTTATTTAGAAAGACAGGACAAGTGAATAATTAGTCAGTCCATTGTTCATGATGCTATCCTCAACTGTCACATTTTCAAATATTCTCCTCTCTTCTATAGCAACACGTTACCATGTTCACCACCTCCCCTTCACGGATCTCATCTGAAAGTCACAGCCCGATACACAAAAGCTCATCGTGTGGGTCGAACTTGTGCTGCTCTGGTGTTCGTTAAATATCTTATTACATCATGCAGCAGCTGCTACACATACATATTACATACAAGTGTGAGATATGAGAATGACCCCAAATCATGTGAGCAAGCCTTAGTCAGACGACTACAAGAAATAATAACTGTGTCGACTACCCCCCCCCATGGAACCCGCCACTCACGATACGTACTTACATCTTCCTCTTCAGTTATTGTAGCTACTCGTCCAGGCTGTACAGCACATACAACACATACAATACACAGATTATGAGTAACGTTTTAAGTACAGTTCACACATCTGCACTACTACCGGCTCTACACTAATACACAGACTCATGAGCACAGAAATTGCAGATCACATCCACAAGTCACGGGGGCATGAGTTCACTAAGTATTACCATCAAGTAATGAAGTTATCGAGTTCCAAAAATAATTGGTCTCCAAATCATAGCCGTGTCAGATAGGCGGCCCGGGCAATCATACATGGGTGATGTACAACACATCTTTACCCACAACATGCTAATGGTTACGATCTCACAGTTCTTTTTTATTAGCAAGTATGGTAGGCCCGGCAGAACCGGTCCGGTTGGTCAGGCTATGGCCGGAACCTTTTGTCCGCCGACGTCTGTTTACAATCTCGGTATCGCATCTCTCGGTGAAATTGCTTGTTCATAACACAGACAGGTCCTGGGGAAGCATCCCGGCTGTTATGGCCATGACCGGACCAATGTATTGTCCAGCAACACGTGTTTATAGCTGATGTGGTCTCTCTCTCCCTCTCTCTCTCTCTCTCTCTCTCTCTCTCTCTCTCTCTCTCTCTCTCTCTCTCTCTCTCTCTCTCTCTCTCTCTCTCTCTCTCTCTCTCTCTCTCTCTCTCTCTGTGTGTGTGTCTGTCTCTCGCTCTCTCTTTGTGTCTGTCCCTCTGTATATCTCTCTCGTTCTCTCCCTGCCTCCGTCTCTCTTGGTCTCTCTGTCTGTCATATCATTAGACATAGCTCTCACGCAGTTATCACAGTAGTTTAAAAATAATCGATGTATGTCTAAAACATAATTAATACAGTATTACTAGTATTACTAGTATTACTAGTATTACTAGTATTAGTAGTATTACTAGTGTTAGTAGTGGCAGCAAAATAACTATGCTAGTACTTGAGGTACTGATACAGTGATAGGCACTATTTGCACTACTCAGTTGGCTCGCACATGACTGTGTGCACTTCATTACACCAGCCATGTAACCTGCTACACACATAGTCATTGTGACTGACACAAGCACAGACAGTACTGTCAATAGTAGTACAACTCCCACACATAGACATGTGCTGCCTGGGGGGCTCACATGACAGAGGCCAGGCACATCAGGCTGACAAATCCCTGCTTCAGGGTGACACATACCTGTCACTTTATAATACACTGTTGATAAACCCAGAGTCAGGACTAAGATTAGCAGTTAATTAAGCTACAGCTACAGCTAGTTGATGTTCAACACCAGGTAACACATGACTCTTCAATGAGCTTCAACAACAGCAACAACAGCAGGAACATTATTCATATCCTATCTCTGACCACAAGTGAGACAGACACCGCCATATCCTAAGGCCAATGCTGGTCTTATCATTATTTCACATCAGTAGGGCTTTTCTGGATGCCATACTCAAACTGTTTACAGTAACAATCAGCGCAGAGGCTTAGCCAGTCAATGATGACCCAAATAAATCAAAGTCCATATCTTGTCCAGCAATAGGAGTAATGATGCCATGAGTGTTTACACCTCATAGGCTATGGTCAATCATTTAATGCACTTTGTTTGGACCCGCTTGGCATTTGATTCTGGCAGTCAGTGTGACTGGCTCCTAGTACCTCTAGTAGTGGTGTAGTGACTGTGTTACAGTCATTTGCACCAGGACTAGCACCCATAATCCATATGCCAAGGGAACATATTCACCAGGACTAGCACCCATATGCCAAGGGAACATATTCACCAGGACTAGCACCCATAATCCATATGCCAAGGGAACATATTCACATAATCATCATTGACTGTGCTTTCAGGCTGGGCAATTCACAACTGTGAATAACTGAATAGGACTAGGAGATGGGGTAGCCCCTCAGTGATCCAAAGTGACAGTATGTCAGCTCACAGACCCACATGTCACCACCCTCCACAGTACAGCACAATGTCAATAGCCCCACTTGACTGACTTCATGTGCTCTGACTAAGGAGCTGATGGAGAACTAAACATTCATTATTTTGAGTTGTTCTGCTTCAGACAAACAATGAACTAGTTGCTTGCAGACAAAGAGCAGTTTTTTTGGAATGCTGTGGGTCTATAATGTTTTTCGCCTGCGTGTGTGCACATGTACGCATGAGCTTCACATGTGGTGCACGCTTGTGTTCTCCCAGCTTATTATTATTACGCACACACTCATGGTCAAGGCCAATCAAGGAGGAGGTGAGGGCGATTATAGCCAGCCATGGATGCAGCGTGCAGCAGGGAGTCACCGCAGACAATACCAGCGAGGACATTCTTTGGAAGTTTGTGTACTTGAGCGTGACCTACCTGTTCCTTTGTTCCTCGGGAGCTCCAGCTGCCCTGCCAGAAGTAGCGACCGTAACCGCGCAGCAACGCGGTCTCCTTTCTGTCGTACTCAAAGTCTGGCCTCCAAATCAGTGAGCCGTAGCCGAATATCCATGTACCTGGTCTGCTCTTGGGCTCAACAAGCTCCATAATCTGCTGCTTGGTTTCTTCTATCTATGAAAATATTACTAGTCACGTCAGCGGTATTACCGAGTGATGGTGTCTTAGGTGTGGTAATGAAACCACTACTGTAGGCTTTCTTCCTTGCTCAAGGCGAAAATTTCTAAAAGGATACGAACTCTCTGTAGCCATTCCAAATGTGATGCAACTGAACAAGAACGGAGCAACTGAAACTACTTACAGAGCGAGCTAACAACAACAGCAACCACAAAGTGCCATAATGTCAATACAACAAGTGGAGTGAGATAGAGGAAGGGAAGGACTGACGAGTATTTCAGAAGGGTTCGACTTCGTGGACAGAACAATAGACAGAAACTGGCCAGTAACAGAAAGAAAGAAGAAGAATGAAATTTGCTCCGTTGCGTTACTCGAATCGTATGAGGACTTCACACACGTCGCGTTGAACTTTATCGGCAGCGCTGCTGATGTTGATGAGCATTCAGCCGCGCGCTGCCAAGCGCAAGTGCTGTGCCGCCGGCCTCGCTCGCGCTTGGACTGTCAGCTGACCAAGGCATGGTTGTTACATTGTGCACGTGCTCGCAGGCACGGATAGAGAGTAGAGCCTAGTACTAGTAGAGGGTCTACCATGACTACGCCTCTACGGCCCGAGTAGACCCGGGTGCTCGAATCAGAAACGATTTGACAGGTGTGGAATTTCTCATCTGTAAATCTCAATAATGTCAGAATATACTTTTGGAGAGGCGATGGAACAGGGAAGAGAGTCTGGCTTGACCCACTCAGCAGGAATTCAGAACCTGGGTGCGCTACAACACAAGCTACAGTACGCAGTAAAATTGTCGTATTTCCTTCGGATTTTTTATTTGAAAATTGGGTGCTCGAATCAGAAACAGCGAACTCGTCAGATCGTCTCCGATTCAAGCACACGGGTCTACCATCGTCTACGCTTGGTGTGGCAGTTGAGGGCAGGGAGTAGTAACTTACTACTTCATTTTTGAGAGCAAGATGGTCAGTGGAGCCGCAGATTCAGCAGGTCTTTGGCAGCACCGTACAGGAGACCCATATCCTCGAATCAAGGACCCAGCAAAAAGTGGGTCGCGAGTATTTCAAAAAGCGTTTACCGGGCAGCGCTGAAATTTGGCATACCGTTAGCGGGCCATATGTTGATGGTATTTGTGAAATCTAAACGAAATCGGAACAAGTTTAGGTACAATTTCAGGGTGTTTCTGTTTTGGTACCCTGTGTCTCATTCGAGCACCCGGGTCTACGGGTCGACGTCGGCCAAAGGCAAAGTGCCAAAGATGACAAAAAGTACAATCATGTAGCAACAGCTGACCTCCACAGCAGGCATGCACCGACTAAAGCAAGTACATGCTTGCTAGGCTCATGAGTCATGAGCTCAGGTCACCGTCGTCAAGCATGACCTCAGTCAGAACGATGATCTTGAATCTACCAATGCCATCATGATTGGATGTTACATGTACATGTACATCATGGTACATGTACAATGTACATGTACATGTACATGACTGTACATGTATCGTGCCACAGTTCCCACTTTTCTGAGTTTACCAATGAGCTTACCAATGTAATACCACTATCAATGAAATACCATAATATCGAAGCCGTTTCACGAGCAAGACACGGATACATTGCTCATTCCCAATAGCCCTTTCCCAAAGGTGCTCGCGCTTTTTTCGCCCTTGTTGGCCCTTTTTGGAAAAGCCCGTTTCTTTCGCCCTTTATTGCATTTTTGGTGAATATCGCCCGTTTTGAGGTTTTTTAGCTGAAAAAGTGCTAAAATCTGTTTGCTTATGCATGCCATCACAGTTTCCGAGTGCTCGATGGGCCTTGCCCTTGGCACGCCGCTTTTTTTGGGGGGGGGCAACAAGTTGGTAAAGTTGGTGATGAAAGTTGGTGAAGTTGGTGATGCTGTAAAAAGTGGGGTTTTTCAACTTTACTTCCTGTTTTGCCTTTCGTGGACCCATAAATGGAAGAGTGCATACTCATTTCTCAGCTTGGGTTCATATCTGAACATGTATCATGGCTATGCTTCACTGAAAAAAGAGCACTTTTTGCCTGTTTTCACTGAAAAATGAGCACTTTTTCAGCATAATTTATTATTTCGAGGGACGCGAAAAGCACTAAGTGCGAATTAAAAGCGCACCTTTGGGAAAGGGCTAATTCCCAATCACCATGATCATGAAGCCAAGGGCTAATGCACGACAAACAATAATTGGCAGGTTCTCTTAAAAAAGCAGAGGAATAGACAGAACCATGCAAACCGTATGATAGGCACTTCCATGTAGCCATTGGCGGACTATGCTCGGCCAATCGTCAAATTATACTTTTGAGTATGCCACAATTATGCCAACAAATATGCTGAATTACATGTATGCTCGGTTCCACTATGTACTCACGCTGTACATAGAGGATTGAGAAACCACGCATACACACACGGCCATGCCCTAAGCATAATTTTTGTCTAAACCGAAAGATTATGCCGACCTTACACGTTGGAATCCGTATTATTATGCTGGAGCATAATGTTTTGACGAAATCCCAAGATTATGCCAAATATTATGCCGCATAATCCGCCAAGGGCTATGACAATTAGTCGACAAGGAATCGTAACTGGGGTAAAAAAGATCTGCAGCCTTTCTGACAAAGCTGTATTATGCCCCTAAGCATAATTTTTGTCTAAACCGAAAGATTATGCCGACCTTACACGTTGGAATCCGTATTATTATGCCGGACCATAATTTTTTGACGAAATCCCAAGATAATGCCAAATATTATGCCGGCATAATCCGCCAAGGGCTACTTCCATGAATTCGGTGTCATTTCTTTATACACATACCAAACATGTATGAAACATACCAGAAAGATACCAAGTTCTGTCAATTTTTCTGCCGGCATTATCCGCCAGTTTAAGACCATGATGGAGAAGCACAGCTACAGGGGTATCTGGTAGGCACCCGCGGACTATGCCGGCATAATTATTGGCATAATTTGGTGGTTGAAAATTTGGAGCATAATTTGGCATCCTTTCGGAGGTAGGAGCATAACTACATGTACATCGGATTGTACTACAGTTCTACATGTACATGTATGTAGGCTACACAATTGGGTACAATGCACATGCTTAGTGCTGGTGGTCTGCATGGTGAAGGGTTCGGAGGTCATGCAGATCGTGTTTTCAACATGTCACGAAGTCATGACCTCTGGATTTTAGCAGCCATGACTGCGCAGGCTATGACTATTGTTCTAATAATTAAACAAATTGAGGTAAAGTTGATGTTCGGTCATGATGAATATCTGGTTTAAGTCCTTCTTTGAAGCGGAAGGATTTTTCCAGCCATTCTGCGACCCACAGATATAATTGGGAACTCGTGGCCTGGTATGAGGGAAACATGGATGCAGCGAATGGGATTTTTCGGTCTTTGACCACTTTGGTGGGTCTGATCTACTCATCTTCCACCGCTTCAGCCTTTAGGAGCTGCACCCGCGCCTTGATCCTTGAAGCGTGGCACCGTGCCTACGGATCCGGAAATCTCGGCTTCTAGCCGAGTCTCACGCGAATCGTGAATTTTGTTTATCCGCCAAAGGCTACGGAGGGCTCATTCCGACGACGTTGGAATTAGCTCTCCTGATTAACTGACAGTTCTTCCGCTTTGTCAGAGCTCCACTTACTAACTTTGTTAGTGCCTATCATGTACTCAAACTGTCCAAGCGAAAGTGCCAAGTCCCTGAATTTGAAAGAGACTTTGACGAGCTCCATCCACATGCGCTCAAAAGCAGGTGTGAATATAATCATGAATCCGTTGCACCTTTAGCTTGCGGATATTGTCTGTTTCAACAGATCAGGTCCAGCTGCGTAATGGCTTGGAAACATCTGTTCCTTATTTCTAACCTGGTGACCTAACAAATGACTTCAAACACAGGCGCATTTCTTTCCTGTCGATCTGCTTAAAGGTGTCGTGTCCGTGTGTTTCTATCTGTATTGTATTCCGTCTGCTCCTACATGTATCTTTGTCAAGTGTTTGCCGTGGCGTCGATGTGTCTCGTCTATGAATAGCGTTGGGAAACATATCACTATTCATGCTTTGCTGGCTGGCTGCTCGCGCCCTTCGCTCCTTCAGCTTGCACGCTACTAGGACATAATAGCAGTATATAGCTCGATGCTTTGCTTCGAGAGGTTGTGGTTGTTCTTGTTGCTTCTCTGTTGCTTGGAACTTGGTCCTGGAGTGAAGCTTTGGTCTTCTTGTGTGGTGAGGGTGAGGAATGGGTATCTGGACTCCTGGTATATTTCCGTAAAGAACCTGGAATCGTAGAATCCTGATAGTATGTCTGGCCCACTCCCCGGTCATGACAAAGGTACTGGGGAAAGTAGGTCAGAATCTAGTAATAAAGTTCTTCAAATCTGCCAACATTCTGTTCTATCAAAAAGTATTCTTTCTAGACCAAAGAGTGGTATATTTGATAAAATTTAATAACGATAGAAATATTTACGATACTTCTCCAGACGTTTCGTTGTTCTGAACAACATCGTCAGTGGATTTTTTTGATATTACAATGAGAGTGAATAATCAACGGCTTGTCCACCAACTCTTTAACATTCTGTTCATTGTCTGTCACACCTGTACAATACATATCTTTGTTTGTTTGTTTGTATTCTTTATTTAGAGTGGGAAGTCCAAAACAGGCCCTAGCCTGATAACAATGGTCCCACTAGTGAGGGAATGCTGTATATCTGTGCATAAGCCCCATCTTCTTCTGCAATTCGCATACCGCAGTAATCGCTCCTGCCCAGAGTAGTAGTACATACTAACTGTTGCATGTAAGTTATGTGCTCCCCATGGAACATGGCCCTGGGTTACTCCGTGTGCTGTGAGATTGTCTGTAACAACTCGAGAAACGAGAATGTTTGTATGCGCTCAATTATGAATTGCCCAACCTGTGAGCATAGTCAATGTGAATGCTCGCAAGCGCAGACGATAAAACTACAGAGCGCCTTCGCCTCAGGATGCTTATCGTGGCAGATCAGTTACCTCTACTTTGGCGATCATAACTAATACGCATCCTATTCGACAAGACCAGCGGTCCCGCCTTCAGGTCCAGCAAAACCGTGCGGCACGCGCCGTATTCGGCCTGCCACCTCGCACAAGCGCCCAACCTCTGCTTGCTCGTCTGCAGCTGTATGGCGTCGAAGAGCTCCACAAGCAAAAGACCCTTATTATGATCTGGCGTTGCTCGAATGGTCGGGCAAGCAATGCACTGCAAGCCCTTCTGGAGCATCCCAGTACTCGAACAACGCCCGCGCAACGCAGCTTGGGCCTTCGAGTGCCCAAATCTGCCTCCAAAGCCGGCCACGACCGTCCAACCGCTCGGGGGTCCATTTTATGGAACACCCTGCCATCCGACGTGCGTGGT